GCTCATTGCCCCTGAGGTCAAATCCTCTTGCCATGCCCCCTGTCACCCAGGGTTCTTGGATGAGGCATATGTCTGTCTGCTCCACCACTTGGCTGCGACTCAAGAGAGCCGTCGCCGCTTTGCAGTGTTGCAGGTTTATCTGGGAGCATTGGACAAGGGTTGGGGCAATGACCGCCCCTACCTTGTTATCCGCTCCCCGCCGTGTATGTCCAGAGGTCATCGAGGCTCCCTTACTTGGGGTTAAAGTTCCCCTCTGACCTACTGGGCGTGCCCGGGCCGCCCCTCTCTGGCCTGTCCCGGCCAGGGGTACCCGTCAAGGCCCACAAGAGGGTCGGTTGAGACCCTCCCGCAGCCCCCGCCGGGCCCCCCCACGCCAGTGCAGGCCTTCCCTTTTGCCCTTTGGGGCGCCCTCTTCTCTTCCCCAATTGAGGGACTGGCGGGGTCCGAAGGCTCTCGCCGGGTCCCCGTACCCCCCCCCCCCCCCCCGGGGTCGATGTTCCGGATGTCGGGGGGACCACTAGATTTTGAGGGGTCTCAGCGGTCCCCTCGCTCCTACCCGTTCCCTTAGTGGCCATCGGGCCGTGCGTGTCGACCGTTGGTCCCGCGGTCCTCACGGGTGCTGGTTATCGCTTCTCCGACCTTTTCCGAGGCTCGTAAAAACGAGCCCGTGTCAAGCCGTAGAACAGGCCCCAGCCTAATCCCTTGAGGACCTCAAGGGACCGGAGGTCCACCCCCAGCACCAGGTTTAGACCGCCGCTTTTGCCTTCGCAACAGCCCCAGACCCTCCACTTCTCAGTGGTTAGGCCCGGATTCTGTTTGCTTAGGCGGTCCAGCGCAACGTTCGCCCCCACTGGTTTCCCAGGGATATAAGCCGTTACGCGGACCAGTTTTGAGAGCGCATCCATCTCCATTACTGTGAGGGAGGCCCCTTCCCAGGGCGCTAGTTTGGGCACCGCGCCCTTCAGCCAGTCTTTCGACCGGCCGTCGGTGCACGTCACCCAAAGCACGCCCTGGTCGTAGCGGTGGCCCTCAAAACCTGGGGGACGCCCTTC